GTTAAGGTAGTGGTACAAGCTGATGGAGAGACTGGGTAACCCTAGGTTGGGCCGTCTCCTGCAACTAATTGCTATCCCCAAATCCAAGTTTCAGGGACTGTGTTCTCCAGTTCCAAGCCCATGCCACGACCCATGACGCCACAGCTCAGGCTCCCCGTGGGGAGGGTTCCTCTGCTCCAACGGAGCTATCTGACTTGAGGTCTGCTTCCCAGCAACCCCAACTCCTGACACGTGAGAAAGAAAAAGAACAGGAAGAAAACCACAAAAAAATATGAAAACGTACAAAGCTGCCGCCAAATAAGGAAATTCCCACAAATAAAAAGCATAGTTAGTTTATAATCGGGGTTACGTTTTCAAAACAGAAACATTAAAAGAAACCACAACTAGTTAGTAAAGAGTCTCACTGGGTGTATTGAAGTTGCAGCACAAGCTTGCTCCGTCCAGGGGCCCTGGCCATTGTACCTGGCCCAGGGTCTACCGGAGCACACCGTGGCTCCCTCAGTGTGCCAAGGTTTCATCTCAGATGGGTCCACTGCTGCACACACACGGACACCAAATAACCCACATTTGAAACCAAGAGTTACACTCTTCCACGGTGTACAGTTCATGCTGCAACCTGTCCTTACAAAGGCTTCTCTCTTGCACATACATTTGATATTACATACGCACAAACCATAATACAATGAGCTAACAGATGGAAAGAACTCAATTGTATAAAACTGCTGCTGCATTTTTGAGTTCACAACCTGTCCTGCAAACTGACTGGAATGACTGATGTGTACAGGAAATGCTACAATTATTTATCTTCACCTGTACAGCTTGAAGTATGTTCTCAATTTATTTTTCATTCTCAACTATTTACTTGGAAGGCAAAAATTTTTGTGTAAGGTATCCTATAATTGCCTTTCACAAGATCTGCAAATCCAATGATCTCTCCAGCCATTGTTCTGCACTTGTCTTGATCACAGCTGGGTTTCTGCACACGGACTTTTACCAGAAATACCAACGGGAACAGAAGAGTTAAAATGATGTCACTTCTGCCATCATTACTCATTGACCCTAATAGATTATGAGTTAAATAACATGCACAGTAATTCCCACACTTGAGCAATATTTTACTGCTAATGAGAAATCTTCTACAGTATCAGCAGTAGATGAGAGCCACTTCGTACACTCCAAAATACACTTCCTGCGATCGGGCGAGCACAGTAGGGGAAATTAATGAGGTACCTATCATTGTCTCCGTGCTGATCCTACGGACAGTTTCCAAAGTGTTTTAGCTAAAAAGCCATGCAGGCTACACATTCAGCAAAAGAAATGCATCCTGAAAGGGAAAAGATAAGGAATGGAAGGAGCGAGGGGAAGTATTTATGGCAGAGATAAATGATTCAAAGCACAGGTAAAATTGAGGGATCAAGCAGCGATGTAGCACAACTTAGAACTGAATTTAAAATGGGGCCAAAAGGAACAAGAGGAGAAGTTGCATGCTCACTCGTCATCATCCAGCTAAGTAACTGATGGGTGTAGAGATCGAGGTGTGGGCTCTCTGCAAAATTATACCTGAGTTTTGGGTTGAGAGTGAAAATACACAAGACCGCTGGAGAAAGAGAAGTGAAGAAAACCATGCAGAATATGCATAAAGAATTCCAGGAACAAAAGAGAGGACAAGGTGGTTTTTCTGATGTATTAGTATTAGTTTAGCAAACACTAAAAGGAAATTAAAATCTCTACATTCTCAAATGTTAAATCCTCCTATTATATATACACAGAAACAAAGAAAGGAATCCTGCAGCAGAGAAAAGGGAACTTATTCATGAATATCTACAAGCAAACTGTTAGAAGGCTATACAATTGTGCCATTTATTAAGCCTAAAATCATTTATTCACAAAAAAAAAAGACATAGGTTCTTGGAGCAAAAGCTCAAGAGCTTCTATGATGCAATTAATTTCTTAACTCATTCAAAATAAAATGTAAGCCATAACCAGTAGTAATGAAACTATGTGCTTGCTTTCAATAAAAATTATATATAAAACTCAAAGTTTAAGTCACGGGCAACACATTACACCATTGTGCCTTTTTTGGCTTGACTTTCAGTTTAAATTTAATGGGAGTTAGCCATAGATTTTTAATCACCATTCGCAGTATGTACTTTTGACAACTAGAATGAGTAGTGTACAGCTATTTATAACATCTGCATAAAAGATAAAGTAAGTATGTCTGGTGGGATGATGTACGCAGCATCAAATAGTAAGAACCAAATCTGGATCTCTATGATCACTGTAGCATAGTGAACAAAACAAAATCAAATACATGTTCTCATTTCATTCACTTTTCAATTCATTCACTAATACAGGTGAGGTGGAGGAAAACAGGTGACAACGATTTACCAGTGTGCTTTAACAGTGCTTTAATTTTCCTATTTCCATAATTTGAAGAATATAGATTTCCTACTTTAATGAGTTTTATTTAGCTAGTTAACAGAAAAGACACTCCATTCCCTTCAACTCTGCTGTACAGTAGGAACTCTGAAGCAATCTATGGAATAGAGTCACATTTTTTTATTCTAGGTATCTTGATCAGCCGCAGCAGTGGAAGTTATCACTTTTGCACTGGTAATTTCTTGCTCTTCCTAGGATCAGTTAGTGCTTGAAGTGGTTTATGTATGTATAGTACAAATGATACAGGTTGGGAAACTATGGTCTCTGAAGTACAGTATGCTCAATCAATGAAACAGATGCTTTGTGTTTCACTTCAATCGAAGCTTTCTGTACAGGAATTGTCATTATAACATACTCGGGGATATTAGGTGTATGGTCTGTCATGATCCTCTGCACAAGAAGAAAATATATATATTTTTATATAAATACATTTTTATATATATAGATAGAGAGAGAGAGAGATTCACCAGACAAGTGAAAGGCATATTTATGGCTAGACAAAAACTAAAATGCTTGTCACATCTTAAATATCCACTGTAAAAAAGCCATATAAAAAGGAGCTACAGCAGTGTTTTTCTCACTACTTCTCTATCAGTCTAAATTTCAAAACAAAAAATAAAACTGAGAAAGAACACAACTGAACAGTTTTCTTTTAAAAAAAGTGGTAATATACGTCTACACTATAGAAAACATCTGAAGAGAGTAGTAACTGGTACATCCACCACACAGCCAGTGAGTTGTTCACACAAACAGCTTGCCAGTAAACAGCCACCTGCTTTCTTGAATGAGCTTCCAGTATTTCTGTCCTTTTCCCCACAATAGCTCTGCCCCTCCTCTTCGTCCGTGCTCTTTTACTCTCCCGTGATGTCTCACTGCCTTTGGCTCTCCCACAAATCCCCTGAAACTCAGCTCCCAGCTACACAGGAAGCCGCGAGTGCGGCGGCTGATTTTAAAGATGCTGCGGTCCAGCCTGAGCAGTCAGCTGGCCAGACCGAGCACGTCGGGTTTGTTCCCCTCATCAGTCTACCGCAGCTTCCAAGAACCTCTCCTTCCTCTGCCCAACTGCCAATTTTTATGAAATTCGTAGGAATTTTGCACTTTTGAGAGCACTGTTTTACATTTGAGAATAAGGCCAAGGGTCAAAAAGCATGTCTGGGAGGGGGGCACGGGAGGGTATTAACAGACAAACAACAAACATCCCATAACTTTTTCTTTTTTCCTTCATTTCACCCCCTCCTTTGGATACTCAGCTGAAATACATACCTACCTATGCTACAAATTCATGTATTCCCACATTTTATCGATTAAGCTTATCCATCTCATACAAGCAACTAAGTGTCTTCTGAATGATTCAACAGAAATAGTTAACGCAAGACGAGTTATTTGAAAATAATTATTTGCTGCCACTGATTATCTTCTTGCCACTGGATGGCAGCAACAGAACCTCACCTTTTTCCGTTATCCTCAAATTTTATTTCCATTATTCATCTTCATTACCAATTTTAAACAATTCTGTACATATCTTAAGCACATTAAAGACTTTAATGCTTTAAAGCCAACACTGAAAACCGTATTAGTTGTCATTAAAACAGCTTAAAGGACAGTGAGCTTAACCAGTTCAAAACCCAGACAACTTAATTAAATTCAACTATAAAAGATTAAATGAACCTAGTTTACTTCAGGGAAGTTGTGTTTATGAAGATCTTTACTTTGCTAGTGTGTTTTTCTGCAAAGCCTCTCTTCTTTCCTCTATACCCACACCATCTTTTATTCCACGGACAGTGGCTTCTTGCACCCGATAGATGCTTCTCATCTTTGAGTCTCCATCTGATGCCAATGTTGTTCTGAAACCAGCTCAGCCTGCACACTACCTGGGTGTATCTTTCATTAATTATGCAAATCAAGCTTCTAATTCAACCTTGCTGATTTGGACAATATGAGTTTTCCAAACTGAGTGAGTACAATTGATTTCATTAATTACCATTAATTATTTTGACAAACCTAAATATGTTAATTAATAAAAACGTTTTATATGAACAATTTAAATGACGGGCAGCATTACATGGAAGCCACACTACAACTGATACCAGAAAGGTAAGGGCTAATTAATTATAAATAATGGTCCTGATTCTTCTCTGAGAAAAATCAATTGCATATTCAGTTACTTCCATGCAATTAAAGTCTTAATTTCTTTGAACTCAAACAACACGTTTTCAGTACCGCTCGGTGCGTCTTTTATACCCTGGTGCACCGTAACATTTTTTTTTTTTTATGATGCTTGCCATTTGAAGGAAACTATGTTATATCCTTATATTAACACAGATGGTGTTTACAATTATAATGGACAAAACTGGGAGCTGGAACGTAGCTCTATCTTGAAAGAGATATCCCTAAAATTCTGTAAAGGTTGCATTTTGCTATGATAATTTCCTGCTAGTGATTTCATACGTACTTGAACACAAAGGACGTGTTCTTCTCATCCGCAGGTGCAAGTTTCAGGAGTACAGTATGTTTTCCTCTTCTTTAAATCTTTCCTTGCCATTATGCTAAGTATCACTTTCTACCAAATATTTTTAAATAAACTATAACTGTAACACATACCTTTCAACGTCAAAAGGAAAGCAGAACTTTGGAACACTGTTCAGCACTTCCTGTAAATACAAGTAAAAGAAATGAAGTTAGGATTTTGAAGAGGCTTTTATCTGTATTAGCCAGCAACTGCCCTACAGCTTGCTTTTAAAAAAATATCGAAAAATACTCGTAACAAATAATAAATTCAGGGAATATATGATTGGAAAAAATACAGCACACGTTCCTGGACTGAAATAATTGATTATTAAAAAGGAATTAAGTTTGTGCTTTGGCAGATTGCAAAGACAATGCCATAGAAGCCCCAGGAGGGAAAGGCCTGGCCTGAAGGGTATTAACACCCTTCACATCCCCGCTGGGATTCCCTTCAACAAGGCCATATGGATTTTACAAGAAGCACCACACCATATGGGTAAGCCACGTCTGCTGCTACTTGTACCACAGACTAGCCACAGGGACTTCTGACAGATCCTGGCTCAAAAATACAAATGTTGTTTCAATTAAAATGCAGGCAGAGAAAAGGGAATGAAGTTGGCAGCAGAATGAATTACAGAGAGGTATAACAACTCTATACATGTTCCATAGTCAAATGCTGAAAATGATGGAAATCGTCTGCTGGTCCAAAGGAGAAATTATACGATTAACCCTTTGGGTTTCACGAGCAAGCCTCGCTATTAATAAAGGGAAAGGGGTGGAAATCCACCGGATCTACATTTGTGCCATAATATGAAAGGATAACGTCACTCTTGCAGAATTTTATTTAAGAAGCTGTTTAGTAGCAAATAAAATGTGTTAATTAAAATATAAAAATGCTCTCAAGCTAGTCAATATTTTTCTTTTTTTAAAAAAGGGAATTACCAAATCAGGTAGCAGCAAACATTAAACAATGACCTTATCAGATGCCAGAAACCCAGGTTTTATTTCCTTGTTCCCAACTGGGAAAACAAACCCTCAGTGAAATGCTTCAGCTAAGAGACGGACATCATCAACACAGTTGGTCAGCAAAGCTACAGAACTCCCTTTCCGTGGCAGACCTACCGCTGTATGCACGAGTTATCATCCCACAAGGCGTGCGTCTTCAGAAAAACGTGTACTGACTGCAAATTTCCAGAGCTGCACATGGGGGTTTAAGAATTTGATCTAAGATGTTAGCACTCTCCAGCCTGAACTCCCTGTTTACTGCACGTTGAACAGTCAGCCCCCATTAGGGGAAGTTATGTATTTAAATTCCTACACACCACAATGACTATTTACTTCAAACATTTGCCTGGCTCAGTGGCTGGTGCAAAAATGAAGAACCCGTGCAAGTTAATCAGCAAGGGACAAATAGTTCAGGAAAAAAAAGCCTCCGAATACAACATGCATATGCTAGTTGCAACATGACGGGTGCCCCAGTAAATCGTCACACAGTACAAAATGGAAAAGTCACTTTTTTTAGAATTCCTAAGTCGTACAAGAGAGTTGAAGAAATCTGTGGAACTTTTATTTTGTCAGGACAGATAAAGGAGGATACGAAAGCCATATATGGTGTTTTGAGAAAGGTTATTAACTTAATTATGAACAATAGCTGTATATATAATATTCTCCGAAAGAAACTGCTCAAGCACCATCCTGACTGCTGTGAGTGGCCACTGTGGAAGCCTGAGGAACAACATACAAATAGAGCAAATAAACATTTTCATTTCTGTAGGCAGGAAACAAGCATACATGACGCCGGTAGTAGTAATAATAAACTCTAACAAAAGAAAGCTAGCAGAACAGACTCATCAAAACTTTTAACTCAGAATTTTCCTAAACGTTTCCAGATAGGCTCTTACTTCAGTCTCATAAAGCTTGTTTTTCCCGTTCCAAAAAAATAGTATTTTATATTCTATTTAAATTCTCTTTCCAAATCTGCACCTAGTCTCACGCTATAGGAAGTGATTTTCTCCTTACTACCAAGGATTTTAACTGCTGCCTGGTGAGCCTAGCACCGACTCAGAATTTGGTATGGAAATGTATTCATTTATGTTCCCCGTTGTGTGATAATTTATTCTGAGAGAATACAAGAAAAAGAAAACAAAAACAAAAAAACCAAAGGTATTAGCTCAATATTTTGACTGAGCAACCTGAAAATTATGGGTATGTTTTGTAGCGTTTTCCAGGCTGAGCTGCAGGACGGTGCTTCCCCCAGCTCCGCTCCGTCCCTCCCCCAGCCAGCACACGTGCGCACAACTTCTGCAGAGCAGCCTCAGCTCGCTTCCCAACTGGCAGGAGCATCCCTCAGGGGACAAGTCTTTAAACCTCCGCACTCTTTAAAATTCAACCAGCCAGCAGGTCTATAGACTGGTGTATAAACAGTATAGACAAAAAAAAAAAAAAAAAAAAAAAAAGACATTTCCCCTCTCATCCCCTCTCAGCTTATGTCAGTGACAAAGCAGCTCAGCAGTTGACTGCTGCTCCCCTGACAGCGTAAGCCGGGTTTACACAGATCAATAGATGGAAGTCCTACCTAGCTTCCAGGGCTCAGTTTTCTCCCTTAATTACAGGTGCTATTCAGATTTTTAAAATGGAAGAAAACAAGATGCCCCCAAGAAGCTCCTAGACAAATTTAAAATGCAAATGACATTATATACACATTCACATACGCAGTCACTATTAGTGTACAATTACAGCTGGTACTTCCAGTAACCTCTCTATTGAATAAAATTTGAGCTTTGTCTCCAAATAGGTCACAATTTTCAAGGATCCATTACTCAGTCAGGACTTCCTCTTGAGTCAACATACACAGTCTCGGAAGATGAATAACGTATTTATTGTCTTTTAGTTTTATAGCTTCATAAAAGTATGTGTTTATTTCTGAAAATGGTACAAGTCTTCAGAAAGCAAAATATCCTTGATTGACTTGTCCCATGATTATATCCTCCTCTTTCTCTCACAGTATCATTGCTTTCAGAAATGGTCACTGTGTCATAAAGGAAAGAAATTGTATACAGAGGGAAAAGGATAATGATTTTGAAAAAAAAAAAACAAATCCACAAGTAAAAGATTATCTATTTGCTTTCAAACACCAAATAAACAATTAAACCCAATTGTGTATGCAACTGTAGATGTTAAGTTAAAGGATAACTATCTCATTCCTTGTACAAGCTCCATGAGAAAAAAAGAAAATTATAAAATATCATGTGAACTACAGTGTGCCGTTTCAGTCTCGAAAAGTTTAAACAAAACCGGAAATGGTATTTAAGAAAACATTTCCTTTATGCCTATAGCACAGCAGCAGAAACTTGCACTCTCACAGGCTCATGGTCCAGCGGTTTTATTAATTCACTTTCACCAACTGCTCTACACAACTAGAGCCTGGCCATGCTCACTGGCTCTACATTGAGATGATATCAGAGAAGCCTAAAAAGTAAGAATTTAAAATAAGCAACAGTTCCTTGCTTATTTTGATACCCATACAGCTAATTCTGTGTATCATCATTTTATAAAGCAATGTAAATGCTTGTGCACTCATACGCACCAGTTTTCTGAAAAAAAGCTCTTGATAACTCACAATTTTGCCCTTAAGTGAAATTGTTAGTCATGTTGGTTAGATTCAAGATATATGCCATATTCCTTACTAATGAGAAAACAGTTTGTTTTTTTTTTAAATAACATCACAGTCAATTGATACAAGCGTATGAAACCTTCATGGCTGTTCAGCACCCATTGTAGAGCACAGTGAGTTGGGAAGATACTCATTTCTTTTTCCACTTGAACAAGACACAATGAGATCTCACTACAGATGGAAAAAGGTATAGGAGCTGCTTCTACAGGAAAATTATATCAGATTTGATATATATTACAGAATCAGCTTCATAATGTACCTCTACACAGATATGAGTGGGTTTTTTCACTTTAACTTACGCATTTCAACAGATTACCTTTCTCTATGTAGATGAGCCCCGATGACTTGCTGAATTGACAGAAATTAAGTTCATCACTTAATACTACTGAAATATTTAAGTACTGAAGCTTAACCTCATTAATTTCTAAGGTTAGAAGGATGTGGAAACTATTCAACCCAGCATTTTTTTTTTTCTTATAGTAACATATTCTGCAGTTTGCATTTAAGTGGGGAGGGAAAAGAACCTGATTTTTCCAAGTGCATCCCTATGAAAGAATTGAAAACCTTCCCTGATAGGAAAATTTCAAGGTATCTAAAAATGCTGAACCACTTCATAAATAGTAGTTTAGACACTGTTTTTTAAAAGACAGTCCTGTTACCTTCCAACTATTTCTGTGCTTATCTGCAGCTTAAGACTGTTTCTCAAGCAAGCAGGCGGGTTCTCCCCCAGCTCCATTCTACACGTGGAAAGAGCATCTCTGGGCAAGAAACCAGACTACTCTCTTCTCCCCACTAACCCCTCGTTAAATGTCTTCTCTGGAAACACCTGACTGCAAATCTCTCTTTTGGTTCTTCTCAGCAGTTTTCCCTACTCTAATCTCCACCTCCAACTCCAATGTCCTCGCTTCTTCACTCTTAACACAACTTGCTCTCTGATCTTTCCTTGAAGAGGACTATTTCACCATTCTGTACCACAGTTTTCAGTCACCCGCACCAGTCCAAACATACAAACAAGAGATCTACTTGAGATTTAAGACCATTGTGATGGGTATTTCTGACTCAAACCAGTGACTTCAGTGGGAATATTTAAATGCTTGAAGTTAAGCACAGATTTAGGTTCATTCTTAAATCAAAGCCAGGCTGCTTAGCATCTTGCAGTGTTGAGCTCTTCATCACTATGGCTCAACGAAGGTGAAATTCTAACGCTGTCACATAAAACAGCTGATGAAAAGGCAAGCTCTGTCCTTGCCACTGACTCTTCCTTTTCCTTCCTCTGAAGCCATGCACGCCCACAGCAGGGACTCATGTGAAGCCAGCAGCCGTAGTTATATTTCAAAGACTTAGCTCTTACCTCTGTTAAAAATCTCATCATAAAATTGTAGCTACAATAAAGAAAAGCCCAACTGGTTTGCATAATAAACAATTTTAATCTTAGATTACATTCACGGAAATCCAAAGGTCTAAAGTATGGAA